TCATCATTTCAGCTTAAGTTATGCTTTATGTTTAAAGCTAGTTACCGTTTTATTTACATTATTCTGAGTACTATATAAACTCAAAGCCCTTTGTATTTCCATTCACCAAGTTATAATAAATCAGAAAGTATTTTTGTTTCAAAGAGAAGTTTGTCTTTTGAATCAAAGTTATTCCTGCGTTCTATACTTAGTTTCTTGAGGGATTCAGAAGCTGATAGAACGTGTAGAATCTCCTAAGCTCTCATGAAGATTAGCCCTTGAGCTAGTAGAGTCTAACCTTTGGTGGTTGAGGTCATCAACCACAGATCAGCTAAAAAAATCATCAATCATTCCTCCATCATATCCAGCTTGAAGCAACCGATTCTAAGGAGTATTCTTGAAGCATTTTCAGGATTGTATCATTGGTATCAGAGCTAAAAGCTCCCTATCCAGGTGTTTTCTATTCCTCTTTCAAGTTTTCGTTATTTTTTTCCATTCAGTTTTTGAATTTTCTCTCTTATAAAAACCATAAAACTTGTTTTGTTGTTCATCTGTCTTCTGCGAATTTTATAAAAATTTTGAAAACCCAAAAAAATATTTTGCTTCTTGTTATTAATTTATTAAACTCTTAAAACCCATTAAAAATATGTCTTTTGGATTTTCAAATCATTTGCTAATTTTTGAAACCATTTTCCTCCGACTGGTCAAAACTGCTTAATTACTTGTTCTTGTATTTTTCTTTCATTTAAAACACCTCCTGCTTGTTTTGCTTGAATTTTGCAAGGTACCATGGGAGACATACCATCAGCAGATCCCCTACAAGCAATGATGTCCATGATGCAGACCCAATTCGCAGCCATCAACGAAAATCTTGCCAACCTCAACGCTAATGCTCAAGCTAACACAGAGCAATTGAATCGTTTGGAGAATCCAGCACGTCCTCCCCCTCTCTTGCCAAGAAGAAACATTCCTGGAGGTCAACAAGATGCAAATCGTGTAGAGGACCCCCCTGATGTACCACCACGAGCACCAGACCCTGTACAAGCTGCTCAAGAAATTTTGAATAGAAGAAATGCTGATCGCAACAGGCCATATCAAGAGGACAGAAACTTACCACCAGAAGTCAAGCTTGCTGCTCCAAACTTTGCAGAAACAATTGATCTAGCCGCCTACATAGAGTGGGAAAGAAGGATGGAAAATTTGTTTGAGTATTACTCTTACAATGAGCCAAAGAAGATGGCTCTTGCAATTGCAAGTCTCACTGACCATGCCTTAGCTTGGTGGGACAGAGAAGTAGCTGAAAAGAGGAGACTACGATACCCTCAAATCAACAGATGGGCATACATGAAATTTGAGCTACAAAAGAGGTATGTTCCCCCTCATTATCACAGAAATTTACTAAAAAGATTTAGGTATTTGTATCAGGGAACTAAGAGTGTAGAAGAATACTTTGAAGAATTTGATGTTCCAAGAAGTAGGCTGGAGTTAGAAGAAACAGAGGAGTCACTCATGTCTCAATTTATGGATGGCTTACAAGAAAGGATACAAAGAAAGGTGGAAATGCAGCCTTACCACTCCTTACAAAAGCTTCTTCACTTGGCCATTCAAAGAGAGCAACAAATCAAGAAGAAAACCTCTTCTAGGAGCCACTCAAACAACAATGCTTGAAACCAACAGAATCAACCCCAACAGCAGCAACAACAAACGCTAACACCTTTGGTAGATAAAGGCAAAGCCATTGCCATAGAATCAAGATTCAAACCCCATGACTCACGCCAAGAGCAAGGTAAGTCTAGTAATTCAAATAGACATCATGACATTATTTGTTTTAAATGTCAAGGCAGGGGTCATGTTTCAAGGGAATGTCCAAACAAGAGGACAGTGATTCTTAGACCAGATGGTGGTTATGATTCTCAAGATGAGGAGATGGCTGAAAACTCAGAAGAAGAAATCACCAACCTTGTTGAAGAAGGAAGCCTTCTAGTAATTCAAAGGGCGCTAACTACACAACCAATCTTTGAAAATCAGGAGCAAAGAGATAACCTCTTTCACACCAGATGCACCATCAAAGATAAGGTATGTCATTTAATCATTGATAGTGATTCATGTGCTAACATTGCAAGTGTTTATTTGGTAGAGAAACTTGGCCTTCAAACAATACAGCGCCCTAGACCCTACAAGCTCAAGTGGTTAAATGACAAAGAATGGTTAAAGGTGTCAAAGTGAGTCAATATATCACTCACCATTGGGAAGTATAAGGAAGAAATCTTGTGTGACATTGTACCTATGCAAGCTGGCCATGTCTTACTTGGAATACCTTGGCAATATGATAGAAAAGACAGTCACAATGGGAGAACAAATGAGTATTCTTTCCACCTTAACCACTGTAAGCATATTTTGGTTCCTCTAGCTCAAAAGGGTATCAGAGTTTTACAAGTGAGAGCTAAACAGAATACTGGAAATAAGGCTAGTTATTTTTCTATTCAGGAATTTTTAGATTTAATTCCACCAGATATAATGCACTTACCTTTTCCAAGAGATTGTTTTGCAGGTTTAAAAGGAGAAGAGTTCAAAACTAAGGAATTTAAGGAGCATGGCGTGAGCAACAATGGTAAAAACGTGATATTCACTAAGGAGAAGCCACCATTAGCTGATTTTAAACCAACACTGGAGCTTGAAGGAGCCAAAAATATCCTATTTATTCAGCTAATTGGGCATCTACAAGCTAATCAACAAGGTAAGCTCTTAAACTCTAAACATTTTTCAGGGACTAACTCAAGGTTGTTTGATGCAGGTTCTACAGTTTTGAGGATAAAACCTCTTCAAGAGGGAGAGGATGATGTAAGCCTCAAGTCAAATTCAACTAAACCAGCCGAGAAATGGAGCCTTGGAGCTAAAGAGGATGCAGCAACGCTTGTAGATGAAGGGAAAGGAGGCTTTGTAGCTGTGAATGGATCAGCTAAGGACTTAACCATTAAAATACTTCATTCTATACATCACAAGGAGCATTCTGATCGAGCCAATACTCAACAGGGTCAAATTAAATCTCAAGATATTGGAGATAAACCGCTGAAGCTAACCAAGGAGCCGTTTATGGAAACCTCGCATATATATTCACCCAATATATTAAGCGACCGACCCTCATTATTTACTGAAGCTAATCAACGTCCTTAACCACCAGAAGAAGCCAATAACCAAGCTCAGTCATGCCAAACCGAAGAAGAACCGCTCATTTCCATAAATGGAGCCATTGGAGCATCAATGCATTCAAACCAAGGAAAACCAAATATTTGTCATCTAAGGACATTATATTCGACCCTCCCCACGTCCACAGAAGTCTACACGAGCCATGCTACACCAGATCAAGTCATTAACCGTTCCTCATTATCAGAAGTCAAAGAAATTCAAGCCAAAGAGAAGCTTTCCATACTTGAACCTAATTATCTTGGTTTAAGGATTCTTGAAGACCAACAACCCCATTTCTCATTCAAGACCGACCATCTATATTATTAAACGCGAAGTCAGAAATGCACCACAGCTCTTCTTAGAGGGGTTAGTGCCTTCTGCCCCTAGTGGAAATATTTCGATTTTAATTAAATCGGTTGGTTTGGTTTGGTTCTTATTTGGAAAACGATTATAGTAATTTAAATCTTATACCGGTTCTATGAGATGGGCTTTTTGAAATTTGTATCCAATGGACCATTTGAAAAAGTCGACTGCCTCTCAAAACTATATTACAAAACGAAAACCCTAGAATTTTAGTAGCTATATATACTCGCATATATCACATTCATCTAAACGAAAACCCTAGAATTTGACCAATGGCCAGGACCAAGCTCCAGAGAACAGATACTCTCATTCCTCATGTCACCATCGATGGATCACCTCAACGCAGTCTTGACCAAGATCGTATCTGTTGCCCTCGCCGATGGCAGCAAGGGAAGTAAGTTGCGTTTGTCGGTGGCTAATGGTGTCTGGATCGATAAATCTCTCTCCTTCAAGCCTTCCTTTAAACAGATTTTGACAAGATGCGACACCTCCAAATTTTATTGAGGTACCTCTTCTTATTATCTTGAAGAATAGCTTAGCGTTTAATAACACAACTGTTGCCACAAGTTGAAAGATAACATATTTTGGGGATGAAACTTTCAGATTAGGCTATATTTTGTTGTTATGCAGTTTAAGTCCTTTTCTTCTTAGAGTCGTGCTAACACACTCTTGGCTGTTAAATTCAGGCAGTACTCTTGGTTGCCAATCTCTCTCCCCAAACAACTAAAATAATACATATGCAAGTAGCACTTAAATTTCCACTTTGGTTTTCAGACCAGGTTTTTTCATGACTTGATGTTTTAATCCTCCACTTTTACAGCATCGATTTCTTCAAAGATGTAGCACAAGTTGTTAGTGTTCGACTTATTGTTAACCACGAGGGTCAACATGTGGACTGTGGTTTTGTTGAGTTTTGCTTCTGCTAAGGAAGGAAAGAGGGTGAGTAGTTTTGTAGTAATGATGGAAAAATATATACAAGTAGATATCTAAAAAGTAGGATTGCTGATTAAAACTTTTTATACGGTAGGCGCTGAAAATTAAGAATGGTGAATATTTTCACGATCATAAGATTTTGCTGATGAAAGGACATGATAAAACTTCTGACTCGGTTGAGGTACCTCTTCTTATCATCTTCAAAATATGTCACTCTCTGAAGAAACACTTAGCGTTTATTAACACAAGTGTTGCCATAAAGTTGAAAGATTACTTATTTTGGGGGATGAATCTTTAGATGAGGCTACTTTTTTGTTGTTACACAATTTGATTCTTTTTCTCCTCAGAGTCATGCTAACACAGACGCTCTTTGCTTTTAAAATTCAGGCTGTTGACCTAAGAAACAAGACGCTCTTTGTTGCCCATCTCTCTCGCAAAGCTGGTTTATCAGATACGTAAGTAGCAAGTATGATCTAAAATTTCCTCTTTTTATTCTTATTCTTCGAGCAAGTATTTCATGATTCTCGATTTTTAACAGCGTCAATTTCTTCAAAGATGTTGGACAAGTTGTTCGTGTTCGACTTCGATTAAACCGTAAAGGCAAGCGTATGGGCCATGGTTTTGTTGAGTTTGCTTCTGATGACGAAGCAAAAAAGGTGAAAGTAGTTTATAGTAACGATGAAAAGTATTTTACAACTACAAGTTATTTGAAAGTAGAAGTGCTGATTCAATCTTTCACACTGTAGGCACTGGAAAAGAAGAATGGTGAATATTTGCACAAGCGCGAGATTTTTCTTGATGTGGCTAATAAGGGAGATCGATGCCTTCCACCCAAGTAAATCGATTTATGTTATGGAGATTTGTTTATGTAACTTATTACTAAATTCTTTTGTATGCCACTACAGAAAGATTAACGCTATTATTTTTTGTTAATTAGGTATTTCTTAGATTACACGGTTTGGTAAGGGATTTAACTATTTTCTTCTTGAGTTTGTTATCAATAATAGCACATTGGGTATACATGGAGAGATGACAAGGGTTTTTGATGTTGCAGGTACGAGGACTATCTTCGACGAGAAATTCTTGTGGTAGAAGAAGATGCAGCAGAGGAAGGACTTGATGAAACTCCTGAGGTACATCTGCTTATTATCTTCAAAATAAGTCAGGCTCTGAAGAAACGCATAGCTTTTAATGCCACAAAGTCGAAAGATGAATCTGCTTTTTGTTGTTATATTCGTAGATTAATGTAGTATATTCTTAGATTCTTTATTCTGGTTTAAGAATTCTTTTCAGGTGGACTCATTAAACAAGCTCGAGACTACTCTGCTTTCATGTTGGTTTTTTATTCTACTTTACGTTCCCTTTGTTTACATTGTCCATTCCATTGGATTCTTTAATTATTTAGTTTTCTCTTATCGAACAGGAGGTCTGGTCGTCTTCCTTAATTCTTTCTCCTTGCCTGAAAATCGGTAAACCCTAATCGAAGTTCTAAATTGTTTAGATATCATACATAGAATTTTGATAAGGGTTTAGCTTGCTTATACTTTTGTATAATTATCATACCTAGAGTTTCGATCTCTAGCATTCTAACATCAGCATATTTATATCTATCTTAGCCGTTTTTTTGGTGATATTTATGCTCCTCATTCTAGGTGGAGCATGCAAATACTTGTGTACTGTGTGGGAACAACTTTTATTTACACAAAGGAGTAGACACATAATATAAGCATTGTTTATAATCATATATCTGAATTTCTTGACTTAATTGCTAATGGCCACTTCTTATATCTTGAATTTCTTTATGGTGGCTTAAACGTAACACATTTCTACGTAAACTTAGCGTATTTCTTCTCCTCTTCTCAATTATTTTAGAACTGAGCTATGTTTGTTGATCGTGTATTTGCACACAGCGTGTGCCACAATGGATTTTTTACACAAAAGGTTTTCAGAGAATAACATGATTAAATAGAAATATATTTACATGTTCGACTAACTTAAAATTGTATCATCCTTAGCTATATGGATTACAGATTATGGTGACTAACTATATTAAAAAGATAAATCATTTTACATTATTGTACTAATCATTTACCCATAAAGAGGAAAGTTAAGCTATAATTGGAAATTAGGTGATTGTAAGTCTGTTACACCATTTAAAGAAGAGGAAAAGAAATATAAATAAATAGATCTACAGCAAAAATAATATCAAATTATTGATTTTGTTCTGATACAAAGGAATGAATAACCTAAAAAACAAAATTGTTGCGACCAAAAACAACAAGGGAGCAAAGAGCTATCATAGCGCCAGCTTTACTGATTAAAGAAATGATATGTTGATCAACATGGAGACTGATCAAGAACAAGAGGGAGAGAGAGGGAGAGGGTGGGAGAGATAAAATGGAGAGAGAGAGAGAGAGAGGATTTTTTTCAAAAAGAAAAATGAGAGAGAGTGAGGGAAAAAGAGATATGAAAAGAAAGAGAATGAAGAATGAAGAAAAACAAGAACGGAGAAGAAAATGAAAGAACGGAGAAGAAAATGAAAGGACGGAGAAGAAGAGAGATGAAGGGAGAAGAAGAAGAAAAAAAAGAATAGAGAAGACAAAACATAAGAAGAAGAATAGACAGAGAGAAGAAAAAGAAGAAGTGTGGAAAAGAAGAAAGAGAAAAAGAACGAAAAAGAAGGAAAATTGAGAGAGAAAGGGACCGAAGAATAAGAAAAACAACAAAGGAAAGGAAGAAGAACAAAAGAATATAAAGGAATAAGAGAAGAGTAAAAAATAATAAAAGAGAAGAAGAACAAGGGAGAGGGAGAAGAAGAAGAAAAATACACATATAAATTCAAATTATTATAAATTTAAATTTGTACAATTGTTAATATTTAGTTAGTATAAAATATAATAAAACATATTTTAATTATGAAATTTGAGTTTTATTTGTCAATAATAATTATACTACAATATTTAGGACTAAACTTATATGCTTTTTGTATCAAAAATAAAATATTTTAGTTTTGAAAATTGATAAAGAAGATGCATTTAATCTTTTAGAAGATGGGCTGAATGAAAATTAGTTTACTAAATTTTTTGTTCATTTATAATTTAGATGGTGCTTTTGATATAAATTAGATGATTGTAATGATATATATGTGCAGTTAAAAAAGAATGAAGAGGAAAAGAGAAGGAAAGAATTATGGAAAAGAAGGGAGAGAGAAAAGAAGGAAAATGGAGAAGAAGAAAAAGAATGAAAAATAAAATATTTCAAAATAACTAGGTGCATTTTTTTGTTGATAAAAAAGCTTAATAAATGTTCATTGTCCGCGCCATGAGCAGACCACCACCTAGTTCATCATTATTAGAGGATTCAACACAATTATTTCGAGCCAAAGACCCATCAGAAGTTCCCTATTCAGCGCCAAAGTCAAGACCAATCCCATTGAAGCCTAACGGCTAGTAGAAGATCTTATCATCATTTCAGCTTAAGTTATGCTTTATTTTTAAAGCTAGTTACCATTTTATTTACATTATTCTGAGTACTATATAAACTCAAAGCCCTTTGTATTTTCAGTCACCAAGTTATAATAAATTAGAAAGTATTTTTGTTTCAAAGAGAAGTTTATCTTTTGAATCAAAGTTGTTCATGTGTTTTATACTTAGTTTCTTGAGGGTTTCAGAAGCTGATAGAAACTGTAGAATCTCCTAAGCTCTCGTGAGGATTAGCCCTTGAACTAGTTGAGTCTAATCTTTGGTGTTTGAGGTCATCAACCACAAATCGACTACAAAAATCATCAGTCATTCCTCCATCATATCCAGCTTGAAGCAACCGATTCTAAGGAGTATTCTTGTCATTTTCAGGATTGTATCAAAAACTAATCAAAGAAGCTTGACGTGGAAGGGAATGAAGATGAGATGTGGTGGAACTTTGATTGACTCTCTTAATCAGTGGGTTGATTGACTCTCTTAATCTTTAGAATGACAGACTCTCTCAGCCTTTAGAACTAGACTTATCTGAATCACACAAGCAATTATATTCCAAGAATCAGTAGAAACAAATGAATCTAAAGACAAGTTGTTTAGACAAATAACACTTTTTAAATTTAAAAAAAAAAACTTTTATATTTGCTTAGATAAAAAGGAGTGCTTTACAAATGAAACAACTAATGAGCTTATATAGGTTCATTACACGTCCATGCAATTAAATCTGTAGAGAAAATTATGTAAAAATCAAAGAAAGATCAAAAAGAAAGATTAAAAGGATTTTGGACGTTTCGGCTTCTCCAAGCAAGAGCTTATATAGATCTATGATTATTGGAGAAGCCAAAACGTCCCAAAGAAGCTCACCTACACCTTCAAGCCATCCATATACAAAGTCAGCAAAGAATCCATTAATTCAAGCCAATCCCCACCATCACTCATCAAATGGGTCAAAATCCTTTTAATCTTTTTTTGATTTTTGCATGATTTCTCTTTAGAGTTTATAGCATGGAGGTGTACTGAGCCTATATAAGCTCATTAGTTGTTTCATTTGTCAAACACCCCTTTTTATTTAAAAAAATATAAAAGTTTGTTATTTTTTTTATTCAAAGAGTGCTGTTTGTCTAAACAACTTGTCATTAGATTCATTTAAGAAATTCATTTGTTTCTAATGATTCTTGGAATAGAATTACTTGTGTGAATCAGACAAGTCTAGTTCCAAAAGCTGAGTAAGTCAGTCATCCCAAAGGCTGAGTGAGTTACTCATCCCAAAGATTGAGAGAGTCAATCAACCCACCGATTAAGAGAGTCAATCAAAATTCTACAACCATCTCACCTTCATTTCCTTCCGCGCCAATCTTCCATGATCAGTTTTGATTATCATTTGTTAAAAGACTGTGGAGTGACTTCCAATCTTATATCATATTTGCATTGTTTTAGCATTTATTTAAGTTAGTTTTTATCTTGTTTCATAAGTGAATTTTGTTTTAGGCTTGTTTGCATCTATTCTAGACTTAAGATCATATTAGCATAGATCTTGCATATTGTGCTGCATTTGGAGTGTTCTTCAGGTTATTTGGAGGCTTTGGAGGTTTGAGGGAGTCTATGGGTGATCCAGAGAGCAAGCAAAGCCAATGAGAGAAGCTGAATAGATCATAACAGATGATGTCTGGCACCAGCACGGGCAGCAGTGCAGACAGCTAGGTTATGGCCAAGGGCACGGGCTGAAGCTCAGGACGCCGCAGGCAAAACAGGTCGCGGTCAAAGGTGATTGAAAGCCATGAGTTTGGCACGGACAGGAAGCACAAACACGACAGGCCGCACCAAACCAGACCGCTCCATGATACCAGAGATTTAAGATCGGGCCAGACGAAGGCTTTCTGTTCAGATTCAGCCTCGGAGTTCTTCATGAAAGTTATAGATAATTAAGTTAGCTTTAGTTTGTCATGAGTCATTCTCATCCGTGGTTCAAGAAATATGATGGTTTTAGCAATAACATGTCCATCAGAAGCTCAGCGCGGCCTAGCCAGTCCTCGGCCAAGAGACCCGAGGATGAGCGTGGAATGCGGGCGTGGGCAAGCTAGGTCGCGCCAGGCCATGATCCAGATCCAATCTGGGTCAAAACCCGATTTTTTCTGGGTTGGCCCGGATTTTCTTTCCTCATACTATAAACACATCTTGTAGCCACAAAAAAACCTAAGTTTTCTTCTCTCTAAAGTTGGGTTTAGATCCAAACTCTTTTTATGGATTCTTTGGATTGATTTTCATGAATCATGCCACTCTAGTGAAACATTCTTCACCACTATTTTTTAATTTCATGCTTATGTCTTTTATTTTGCTTTTCTTATGCTTAGCCTTTAGCTTTTTGATTGAATCATGTGTTTTGCTAGATTAAGATGAATTGATGGTTAGACGTTGATGATTTAGGTTTATATCCGCTAGATCTCTGGTAGAAAAAGGCTTACTAAAAGAATTAGGTCAAGTAATTCTATATCCGTATGGAATGATCCTTGGATTCCATCTTCTCGCTCGAGATCAGACTCATAGGATACAATCCTTACCCCGAGCTAACAGTCAACCAAATGATTGATCCTATCTCAGAAATGTGGAATATTACACTAATTAAGCAACTAATTGTTCATGAGGACATACCATTAATCACTGGGATTGCTACTATGAAGGATAGCAGACCAGGAATATCAGGTTGTATATCGGTGATGCATCGTTAATGTAGCAAATGTATAAATTCCGACCCTCGATGTAGTATACGTGGGACAGAACAGGAAAAAATTTAATCATACTCTATTCGAATGCCCCCCCCCCCTCCCCGACCGACATATCAAATATGAGATTTATCGGCAATTCCCATGCCTCCAAGATGGTTTCCGATAGATGGTTTATATTCAAATATGGCTCATCTGTTTTGGCATTTACCAAATGTAGATGTGATGTTGGTATATCCTTAGTTACTATGGTATATTTAAAAAGCACGAATGATAAAATTTTCTTTAACATTGATCGTGATCCACGAAAGGTGCTAAGAATTGCAACAGCGGAATCAATCGCATGGGAGGTGGCTCAGGTTGATGAATTAGTGGTGAATACACCACAGTGAAATCACGCTGTACATGCTCCAATATATGATGGGTTACAATGTCAAGTAGATGGTTCTTAGAAAGAATCGGTACCAAATGTCAGACTAGGGTGGTTTTGTCAAGGGGATGGCACGCTACATACATTGATGGAGGCAGAAAATTTACGGCAGAGTATATCTCTATTGCATTCAGAATTGGAAGCATTAATATAGGCAATGCATTGCATACTCGATGAAAGGAGATTGGAAGTGGCGTTTACCACAGACTATTCAGATTTGGTGAAGATGGTGTTTAAACCAGAGGAGTGGTCGGCTTTCTCCCTACACCGGGAGGAATACGAGACAAGCAGGAAGAAATTTAATTTCTTTTCGATCTCATACATTCCATGCATGCAGAACACAAAGGCAGACAAACTGGCATAAAGTGCTTGGGATTACTTTTATTGTCTACGCTATGTAAACTTAGTTCTATTGGTTTGGATTTCTGAACCGTTTTAGGAATTGAGGCTGTTGAAAAAAGAAAAAAAAATCATTGTCAGAAAATGAATAATCAATAACAATCTAAAAAATAAATAAACCAAAAACAATGATATATGTTAGCCCTGAGTATTTTCGAGATTCAAGACTGAAATATACATGTATAAGACATAAATATGTAATTTATTATGGAGAAAAAACAGTATCCAAAGAGAATCTAAAGAAAATGAGAAATTCATTTATCTAAAATTTCTTTCCAAACTCTTAATAATTTGAGTAAATATCAATTTTGAAATGTATATTTTGGGAAATTTTGGAGAAAGTCAAATTTTTTAAAAATGATATAGAATTTTTAAAATTATTAAAAAGATAATTCAAGTATCCGTTCATATTAGGGGATGTGTTTAATTAAGTTCTTTAATTGAATTAGAAGGAATTAAGCTTTCTATTAAATTCTAGTGTTATTCAATGTTGTATTTAAAATTATTCTTCTAATTAGTTTAAATTATTTCAATTTAGTGATTTTCTAATTCTATTAATTGTTGGTGTGATTCAATTTTATTACGCTTTTTATATTATTGTCATTTAAAAAGAATTTAATAGAATTTCAATAAAAAATTATAAAATCCCAATTTTTCCTATTTTTACTGTTATTTGATAAAATTAGTTTATATTCTCTATAAAAACTTTAAATTACTTCAAAATCAATTATTTTTTAATTCTTTCGTATTCTCTTAAAATCAATCATTTAATATCCCCATCTTAATAAAATAAATAATATAAAATGGGTAATATTTTAACAAAATTAAGATATGGCAGCATTTGAAATTGTTACATGTGAAAAAAAAAAATCATCTTAAAATTCTAGACTATATAATACAAAAAATCTATTCGCAAAAATGTATAAAATAGTTGATATATATTTAATTAGATTAGAAGGAATTATGCTTTCTATTAAATTTCATTGTTATTCAATATTGTATTTCACAAATTCTTTTAAATTCATGTGTTATTGGATTCAATATTTGAAGTCATTCTTTTAAATTACTTTAAATTCTAGTGTTATTCAATGTAGTGATTTTCTAATTCTATTAATTGATGGTGCTATTCAATTTTAGTACTTTTTTTATGCTATTGTCATTTTAAAAAAATTTAATAGAATTACAATGAAATTTTGTAAAGAACCAATTCTTGCTATTTTTGCTGTCATTTTGATAAAATTGATTTAAATTCTCAACAAAAACTTTAAATTACTTCAAAATCAATTATTTTTTAATTCTTTTGTATTCTCTTAAAATCAATCATCCAATACTCTCAGCTTAGACATTATGGTGTAGATTTGAACTTTCTAATAAGTAAGATCTAGTGTGAATAATCAAATTATTATTATTATTTGTTTTTGCTAGTATTGCCAATTTCTCTAGTTTTTTTTTTTTATATTTCCAAATGCGACCCGTCTCTACTACGTATTACATATTTCTACCATTCCACTAATCTTGAGGTTTTACGCTTTTTTTACACTACCGAGAAGATTTCTGAATTCCTCAACACTCCGCAGCGAGAAAATGTCAGGCGACTCGGCGGTTACGGCCATGGAGACGACGGAGACGAGTCACAATTCCATTAAGGTTGACTCCAAGGACACCGAGTCATCAGATATGGAAATCCAGATTCTGGCAGCTATGCGATCCCGCGCAACCTACCTCAGAAATAAAGCAGAGTAAAATCTCCTTCTCTCAATCTCTTCCCCTGACCCTATCTCGTAAATTTTCTATGTGTTCATTTTGTTTCACGGCACTGGGCAATCTCAAATTTCTGGGTTGAAATTAGGGTTCTTCTGATTTCACTTTGATTTCTCTTTTTCGGTGTTGGTTCGTGGAAATTTGTGAAAAAGCTTGCTCTCTTCTTATCAATTGGATTTGGATGCAGACTAATTTGATCTCGAAATGGCTAAAAGTCCAGAGAACTTCCATTATTATTTAAAGTCGAAAAGGATTATTTTCAGTCTTGCTTAAGAGTTTTGAATAATAGGAGTCATTTGATTTTGATTTTTGTGCAGCACCTTCACTTTCGAGAGTGTTCGGAGGTTGTTGGAGGAAGATATGAAATTGGAGAAATATGCTTTGGATGTTCATAAAAGCTTTGTCAAAGAGCATTTGGTCAAGGTGTGTTTTACATGAAACAAGAAGATAATTGAACCTTTATCCTCCGTTATGTCCTCTACAAATGTTTTACTTTCTGGATGACAGTGCTTAGAAGATGCTGGCGATGATGACGCTTCAGCGAATTCTCAAGAAACTGAGAAGAAAGACGATGATGCCTCTCCAACCAAAGAGCACGAGAAGAAGAAGAACGATGCTGAGAAAACTGTAGCTGAAGATACGAAAGACGAAGGGGATCGAGAAGCTCTGATGAGTGATATAAAGAGAGCACTTAAGAAAAGAGCTTCTTATATTAGAGCTAACTCAGAGTAAGCTAATGATTGCAAAGTTAGGGACTCAGTTGAAAAGTTTCCTCCTTCACGATTTGTGAAAGTGATTTTGGTTTTTATTTCAGGGAAATTACAATGGCTTCACTTCGTCGACTTTTGGAGCAAGATCTTGAGTTAGAGAAGAAATCTCTTGATTCCTTCAAGGAGTTCATTAACAAAGAATTAGATGAAGTGAGTACTTTAAAATTGATTAAGTCATCTCTTGAGTATAGCTGGGAGGCAGTCTTTTGATAGTAATTATTGGCTAAATAGGTACTACAAACTCCTGATGCTCCAAAACCAAAACCATCGACTAAGCCTACTAAGAAAAAGGTCAAGACCACACCACCTAAGACGCTAGGCAGCGAAGAAAATTCTGATTCAGATACTGAGGACGGAGAGGAGGACGAAGAGGAGAACGAAGAGGAAGTGGCTGTGAAGAAGACTGTGGCGCAGAAAAGAAAACTTTCAAAATCAGAGATGAATGTCAAACTGGTATCTGCGAAAAAGAAAGCAAAACATACAGAAACAGATTCAGAGAATGACAGTGATGCAGGAGATAGTGAAATGAAGGCGGAGAAACCTTTGAAGGTATATTAACATCTTGGTTGTGTGATTCTTTTATCTCACAATGCCATTAAAAGCCGTTTACAAAATTTACTCATATGGTTTCTTCTGCTTTTATATTATTCAACATCAGACAAAGGAGACTGCAACTACTGTGTACGGAAAGCGTGTTGAGCATCTCAAATCAGTCATCAAGTCTTGTGGGATGAGGTTTTAATCAAAACTTGGTAGATCTTTGAAAAAAGCTTTATGTTGGTTCATACTCCAGGCTCTTTATTATTGTTATTATTTTGTTTCTTGGCAGTGTTCCTCCTGTCATTTACAGGAAAGTCAAACAGGCTCCTGAAGAGAAACGCGAGGCTACTTTAATTGAAGAACTTAAGCAGATACTTGCCAAAGAAGGGCTCTCTGCAGATCCTTCAGAGAAAGGTATTGTTAAGCTGAGAATGATCTCTTTTGCTTGGAACAAAACTTGAAACCTTATATCTTATATTTTATTTATTGAATTTAGAAGTGACTTTTAATTTTGATGTTTGTGGTCTGTGGCTTGGCTGAAATGGTTAATGTGTGAACATACTATGAACAAACTATCTGGCTGTACTCTGACAGAGATCAAAGAAGTAAAGAAAAGGAAGAATATATCAAAAGAGCTTGAGGGTATCGATACAAGCAACATTGTATCGAGTTCAAGGAGAAGATCCACCACAAGTTTTGCGCCTCCTCCTAAGCCGAAAATAACAAGCGAGAGCGAGAGTGAGAGTGACGAACCAGAAGAGTCTGAGAATGGAGATGGTAACGAAGAAGAAGAAGAAGAAGAAGAAGCTGAGGGAGGTAATGAGGAAGCTGAAGAAGGAAGCCAAAGCGAAGAAGAATCAAACAACGGTGAGAATCCATATCCCTCCTGTAAAATGACCCATCAAGTTTAAAAACTGATGATCGTTGGCTTTGTTTGCAGAGGATGATGGTGGAGAGGAAAGCGACTGATTTGTATGTTTCATCTTATATGCTTCTAAGAATTCTATAATCTATTCTAGCGTAGGTCTGTATTTTGCTGGAGTAGAGTAATGACATTTTGTTCCTTTATTTTTCTTTACTTTAAACTATAATATAATTATGAATCTTGGGAATGGAATTAGAAACTAAAGTTGTTAGAAGAGACAACTAAAGATTAGGAACAATATTAAGCATATTAATATCTCAAGCTTTATAATTACAGTGATTAGTAAGATTCCTAGATTCTACTAGATCGTAGAGGAATCATATTCTGAATCACTGAATAAACCCTTATTTATACGCATCCCTTGATATCATCAAAAATAAGAAAAATAATAGTCTGATTGATAGTGATAACACATTGAACGGCATCTCTTCTCAGTAGGGTTTTTTGTTCTTTTCGGATAAATCGAAAAAGAAACTGCTAATTTAGACATCGGTGGTGTCATCTTGTGTCTCTGCTAGAATGAGCCTAAGTTGTGTAGCAAGATCTGTGACATGTTGCTGTACTAGAGTAATGACATTTTGTTCCTTTTCTTTCTGTACTTTTAAGCTTTAAGCATAATATAATTTGAATCTTGGGAATGGAATTAGAAACTCAAGTTGGTTAGAAGAGACAACTTAAGATTAGGATGAATATTAAGCATATCAACTAGATGATAATGATTTGTCAAGCTTTATAATTACAGTGAATAGAGTAAGATTCACAGATTCTACAACATCATAGAGGAATCATATTCTGAATCACTGAATAAACCTTTATTTATACGCATCCCTTGATATGATCAAAAGTAAGAAAAAATAATATAGTTTGATTAATAGTGATAACACATTGAATTAGCATCTCTTATCAATAGGATTTTTTATTCTTTTCGGAATTAGGATCAATTGAAAAAGAAATTGCAAATCTAGACGTCAATAGTGTCATCTTCCTGTGTCTCTGCTAGAATGAGCCTAACTTGTGTAGCAAGATCTGTGACATGTTTATCTTTAAACCCTGATTGATACAGCCAGTACACATACTTTACAATCTGAAACCAAACCCCAAAGATTTTCGAGTTATCGGATAAGTAAAAGTCTGTGTTTACCGAGTTGAACGAGAGCCGTTTCAAGGTGGAACAGATAGTCTCTGTTTGGCCCTGAAGGTCCTTCCGCTTTATCTATCTGTCTGCGCAACAAAAACACAAAGACAACGAAAGATCAAAATTCAAATCTTGTTACATGATAATAGCAAGAAACAAAACTACATACTTAGCGATGTCTTCAAGAGGAGCTGGTCCTAAGTAATTCTTGTTGCTCTTCTTGTCAGGTGAAGCTATGTACCTGAGTAAAACAAAGAAGAAGACTTATCTACATTTGTTACTCGTTCTCTACGTATAAACAATGTAAACTTATGCGTAATCTTACACCATTACTCCTGATACAGCCGGTTCTGAATCATTAATGTCCTGAAACAAGCAAGCCTTGTCACACCCAAACAAACAAAAAAAACATTTTTTTGAAGTTAGAGAACAAAATTGGACTCACTGTGAAGAAATCAAGATACTCTTTCTGATCATATTGCTTCTCCCTCACTTCTAAATGCTGAACCAAACAAAACAGACAAAGACTCCACAAGATTACAAATTGGGAGTAAAGGATTTTGTGTGAAAAGGAATTAAAGCACTTACTGTTAAAGCATCTCTTTTGTCTTCCTCTTTGGTTATCTTGTAAGCAACTCCCCACTGTTTAATATATAAAATAATGGAGTATAAACAAAGGAGAGACTTTTGATTTTAGAGATAATTAAGACTTACACAGATTTCTCCATCTGCAGGCTCTAATGTCACTGTTCTTCCCGGAAATTCAGGAGTTCCTCTATGATCAGTACTACCTAAGTTCCAAATTACATTACTATGGATTTAAGATCGTTCTATAAAGATAGATTAAGAACATAGTAAGAGAGAGAGAGAGAGAGAGAGAGACCTTGGTGAAAAACACGGCGATAGTTTTTGATGAAACCAGGAAGGCGATCGTCGAAAGGAAAACCCGTTTTCCAAATTAGAGATCCGTACCCGAATACCCACATCGCCATTTTTTTCAGGTGAGAGAGAAAGTGCGTGAGATTCGATTGGAGAAGACAAGTGACCCAATTACATGTTTCTCATATGTAATTATTTTAGCAAGTTACAAAAAGACCCCTTAAATTTGTGTTGTATCCAATTTCGACCCTGAAGAAAGGATTTCATAGAATTTGATTATTTATAAATTACGAATAACTATTTGTTTTTTAGGTGCAAACTACATGCTTCTTATTTTGTCAACTTAAAAAAATACTCTTTATTTTGTATCCTATCCAAATTTCGACACTAGCTAGATACTTCGATTTTGTAGAATTTGACGTCTTTGGTTTATTAATTTTAGGAGCAGAATTTAATTTGTTTGTTTGTTTTAGACGCGTAAAGCTTTTTATTTTAGTAAGTTACAAAGAAACCCCTTTATTTAGTATAATATCCAAACTTCGACACTAGATTCTCCAATTCTATTGGATATGGCTCTTTTTTTTTTGTTACGGTGCGAATTTTACCAAATGACTCATTCATCATTTTTGGAATTTTAAAATACACGAAACTACGAAAGTACGTAGAATCAGATAAAAATAAAACATAGATATTGTAAGAAGATATTAAAGTTAAAAGAAAACACAAAAAAAACAGCAAGAAAGATATCAAAATTTCAACCCCAAAGGAGATGACATGTTTGGTTCTTTGTATCTTTCTTTTTCTCTTACGGGATGGATTCAAGTACTGGTAAGCACACCGTTTGTCGGTGCTCCCGATACATCACGACCGTTCGCTGGTGCTCCCGAGACATCATGACCATTCGCTGGTGCTCCCGAGACATTATGACCGTTCAATGGTTTGACTACGTTAGTGATCGGAAGCTCTTGTTGAGCTACGATTTTCTCATCTAGAGGATTCACTACGTCTTTACTTTTGCCCCAAACCACGCTATATAGTCCAATGACGATGAAAATCGCCCCGATTATACTGCATAATTACAATATTACCCTTCAAAACGTTAATCGCTTGTTTAATTACCTTATCAAAACGTAAAGAAAGAATAATTACCTTCCGAGGTGAATTTTCTCAGCCAAAACAAGGGCACCGAGGAATGAAGTAATGACCATACACATTGGACTAAACGACGTCGTAAACACAGGGCCACGTTGCTTAATTACTATGCTTTGTATGTAATACGCTATGCCCGAACAAACCACTCCCTACAAATATCCCACATAATTACAGTAATAAGGTTTTAATCGATTAAAACTAGTCAATTTTGATATTTTTTTCGCATGAATAGATAATTTAACTTACAGAGTAAACAGCCGCGAGTGTTCCGGAATCCAAGCCGACTTTCCAAGCGCTCAAGTCACGAACAAATATCATTGAAACGATGAAGTTTAGGATCGACCCAATCCCACATATCAACGTCACAAGAGATAGTTCAGCTGGATAAATTTTCAATGTGAACGACTACAAGAAAAAGAAAAAAAAAATCATTAGAATCTATAAACTCCTATAATGCAATGTTGATGTTGTTGACAAAATAATAGCGAAAACATAATGTTAACTAATTAGTTAAATTACTTGTAAAATGAAGAAAGCAGCCCAAGTGGATATACTGCCCATGATGGCTAAGGTTCCGGTGACCCAGTGCTGACCTGTGGCCGTGTTTGAGCCACCGTGGAAGGAAGAATGGGCAGCTTTCACGATCTCGATGGCCGGACCTTTGTACAAAGTCATCACCATTGCTCCTCCTAACGTTATTACCGTTCCAACCACTTTTGCAATACTGTGTATCTTCTTAAAGTTCACTGTCTCAAGCCTGAGTTACATGTTGAAAAATTGGTGTTTAGAACAATTGTTAAATGGTTTAGACTTTAGACACCTAAATAGTTTAAATAATTTTTTTTTAAATAGATTTAGTTTAGATATTGTTTCTTAATGAAATACATATATATTCCAAAATAATCAAAACTCGGAGATTAATTGGCAAATTGATGGTAGATTAAACTTGCAAATGTAACTAAGTAGGAGAAAATTTATTGTGTACCTGAAAATGAGGGCGAGAATGAAGGTGACGGCGGGAAGTGCATTGGTAAAGGCAGAAGTGTACGATGCTGACGTGGATTTCAATCCTATGTAATAGAAGTTCTGGTCCATAAGGGGCCTGGATCATATGAATAAACATTTACTTTATTAGCATTATTCTTTTTATTTATTTATTATGTAGCCTTTTTCACATCATCTTTTGGTTTGCTTAATTAAGTAGATTGCTTTTTCCAAAGATCAAAAGGAAAACGTTTACGTAGGATAGCACAATTCAGTTTTCACATTAAAGATGTTTGTTGTGGCTTGTGGGTGATGATCTCATTTACCAATACTCAAGATAGAATCAATATGTGCGAGTTTCATGTTTTTTTATGTTTCTTTTTCTTTATACAATATCACGGTAAAATTTTAAATCAGAGTTTCCTTTATCAAGTTTGAGACGGAAATGATACTTTACAGACTTGCTAATCATTTTTTCTAATTAAACTAAAAAAGATCGGCGTGAGTGTATTTTCGCCTATCTATGTAACGTACCCGAACTTGCGGCCAAAAAAGGAAAGTAACGTACCCAAACTCATGAATTTGCATCACTATAAATTTATATTTAATAACCTAGGAAATTTTGAACCGTATTTAACTATTTATAACATTTATTCAGTTACTCGTACATATAAGAAAACAACACTTTTCTTAGAAACAAGGCCTTACTAAATCGAAACCATATTCATCATAGTGTGTATATTATTTGATATAATGTGAATCATGGTCCACTGAATGCTTATGTATATGTAAGTACGTATACTAGAAGAAAAAAAATGCCAATAGAAAAAAATTAAAGTTGCATGAACCAAACTTTATAATTGTAAAGAAAAATAGCTTCAATGAAAGAGACTTACTCTAGTATTCCAAGAGCAAGAAGCCTATAGAATATTTTTAGTGTCATCTTAGGCCTAATTTTCCTGCAAGCACACAATTATTATATGAATTATTGATCTATGCACATATTCGATCCATACTTACATATATATATATATATGTATGTATGTGTGTATACTGGTATATACCTCTCGAACATTAGAGCAAAGGGAGCCATGACCACCGTGGCAACGATATGACGGTATGTGGCAAGGACCCAATGGTCCATGCCATGCTTGAAAGAGACCATGGTGATGATGTACATGCCTGCATACCCAAATTGTAGTGATATTATCGCTAATATCGGCTTCAATTTCTCCATGCTCCCGCATTTGCTCCCTCCACCTTTCATCTTTATTTGTTAGTTATACTTTTACTACTCAGTATATAGGGTGTATGATCTATAGTTATATAACACTACTAGTTATTTCTATGTTTATATATAGATGATCTCCCCTTCTCTCTCTTTATATTGATGAGAGTTGTTTGGTGAGTGATGAGATAAGCTCTATTTGTTTGAGGCAGGCAAAACCTAATGGAGAATGACTCCTTTTTATAGTAGAGGAAAAGTTAGATTAAAAGATACACATTATTTTGTTCACTCAATAATACGTCTACGTATCTTTTGGAATATTTTGATGCACTGTTGTATAGAGATATGCATAAGCTAACAGAAAATATGTGCCTTACATATATTTTACTTTTACATATGCATATGTCAGCATATCATTTACAAGAATTGATTTTGGAATTTTATTCTAACTTTGTTTTCTTTAAACGGCTTCGAAGTTAAGAAATATACAAAATATTCTTCAAAAAACGTACATACATGCATGAAAAGATTTCTTTTATTCTTTCAATGCGTAACACGTGTTTGCATTATATTAAAGTTGATATATCACATAGTTTTCTCCATGTATGATATATCAAGTAGTAGGTGGTAGGATGATTGTGTGTGCATAGACATATACATTACTTTTTTATAATATAGTACAAAATTATAGTTATAGTTCTCTCCAGATTTCTATCAGTTAATTTCTGATTCTTTCAAAACGACTCCTCCTTCTTTCAACTCTATACGGAATCAAGATGGTTCTAACACTAGCTAGAGTGTAACTGAAATCATATAAAATAAAAACAGCAATGTTGTAACTTATAAGCAAAAGTTGTAGAGTGGTAGGAGGATATTGTGTAGTGTTTGATTACCCATTGGTTTCTGATAAAAACAAAATAACCAATGATTTTTAATAATAACCGGTAATTGTGAAAAATTGCAAGCGTTTAGGTTCGAAATATCTACTATAATTTTTTTTTGTTTTTGAATGATACAATAACTATAAGTGTATGCAGAATGTAAAAAAAAGATAAAGATAGATGCATAAGGGAAGTTCAAAAGCAACTAGATGCTAGTCTAGCAGTTGTGACGGAGGCACCCTATGATTTAATGGTTTGCGCTAGCTAGTATTATTGATGTGTTAGTATCAAGACTTAAGTTAAATTTATATGATGCATATATACTGTTGAAAAATCATCAATTCTTTGCGTTATATATAAACTAGAGATTATTGGGAGCTAGATTTATATTTTGATTCTAAAAGTTAAAAGATTTGTTAAATTTGTAAAGAGTTTTCTTAGATTTGGAGAGATTATAATATTCAGAAAATTTATAAAATATTTTTCTGTTATTAATTTTGAGAATCTTAAAAAACTAATACTTGAAAAGTTTTGTTTCATGTATTAATTTGTTTAAAATTAATGTTTTAATAACAATTTTTAATAAAATCATAAAACTCTTAAAACCTAAAATTTTGCATAATAATAGATAATGTATAAATTTTAAAATATCAAACCAACAATATTAAATTTTAGTAAAAATATTAGAATCCATTAATTAATAACAATAAATTTTGAAAATTCTAATAATTTTTTAGAATTTATCATCTAATACTCTTTAAAATTAGTTATCAGAATTCTAAAATGGTAAACTCTATAAATTGCATGAGGTATGTTTAGCGTTTCAGAAAAAAAAACTGAAATTTTCAGAAATTTGATAGAAATATGAAAAACCATGTTTTCTAAAAATTGCAGTTTAATAACATGATAAAAATATTTTTTTTTTATTTTGAAAACACAATGAATACTTGTTTAATATATTAGTAACTTTCAAAAAAAAATGAAAGATAATAAAATAAAACTATGGGCTGACGATCTATATTCCCCCAGAAACTATCATATAGCACCTAATGCACACAGATTTTGAGCCTCGATCCAATTCCACCCCAAATTGAAGTTCTGATTCTAATTCCACCCAAGTTTAAAGTTCAAAATCTATTTCCACACAATTGAGAAGTTCGAAACTTAATTACACACATATATGGTTTACCGATGGTTTACTGTTTCTCAATCAATCTTTAACCAGTTGGGTTCAAATAAACCTGAAGTTAAACCATTACAAACCCAATTTCAACCCGATTAGATGGGTTTAACCACTTATTATCGATTTTGAGAAAACAGAAAATTCCCAAATATGGGTTTTGTATTCCCCCGACGAACACATATCGATAATTTCCGTCGAGCTCCGTCGAGCTATATCGATAATTTCATCCTTCAATGGCGCCTGTCGTGGAGCTCATCAATATTCCTTTACTCTACGACGAATCCGATGATGAAGAAGAGACAGATCGATATGCATTCCAAATCGAAGATGATATAGCGGCATTCAGTGATGAGCCTCCTATCTGCCACAATGTGTATCCTGAGAGTGACAGTGATAATGAGAGGGATAATGGTGCTGATGAAGAAGGCGAAGTAGCAGAAGAAGAAGCAGCAGCTTCAAAGCCGAAGCAGAAAATGCGAGAGTGTGACAGAGTGAGAAGAGGAAACGGGAACCTTTTTGAAGGGCAGATGTTCTTCAATGGAGTAGCATTCAAAGAGGCAGTACTTGACTATGCTCTTAAGACAGGCCACAATCTCAAGCAAACAAGGTATGACAAAACCAAGCTTGCATATTGTTGTGTAGGAAGAAATGTTGATTCGCATTGTGAGTGGTGTATTTATTGCTCGAGTAGTGGAAGTTGCGAGAGATGGCAGGTTAAGGTGTACAAAGACAAACGCAGTTGTGTTCCTAATGGCCATTGTGAGATGATTAAAGTCCCTGTTATAGCTAGATTGTTTGTGGATAAGATAAGAGATGACCCAGAATATTACATGCCAATGAAGATAGAAGAATTGATTATGGAAAGGTGGAGGATCACTGTCTCAAGGCCTCAATGTCAAGCTGCTAGAAATAAAGCATTGAAGTGGATTGCAAAGGAATATCGTGAGCAGTTTGCTCGTCTCCGTGACTATGCTGCTGAGATAGTTGAGTCAAATCCGGATTCTACTTTAGATGTTGAGACTGTAACAAATGAGGAAGGTGTTGATGTGTTCGACAGGTATGCTTTGGTGCTCTTAAAAGATCATGGAAATCGACATGTAGGCCACTCATAGGACTTGATGGCTGTTTTTTAAGAGGAAAAACAAAAGGTCATTTGCTGGTTGCTTTAGGTAGAGATCCTGATAATGCTATCTATCCTATAGCATGGGCTGTTGTGAAAGTGGAAAACAAACCTAATTGGTTGTGGTTTTTGAAGAAGATCAAGATTGATTTGGGTTTAGAAGATGGCGAAGGATATATATTGGTTTCTGATCGTCAAAAGGTTAGTAAATTATGTGTGCTTTTTATTTGCGCTTTTTTGTTTGTGATCTTTAAAAGATATGTCTCCGAGTTTCTTAATTCTTGTTTGTGTTTTTGGATGTTTTTATTATAGGGATTGGTCAATTCTGTTAAGGTGGAGTTACCAAAGATTGAGCATAGAATGTGTGTTAGACACATATATGCAAATATCAAGGCTAAACATGCGAAGAAGGACATGCTGAAGCTATTAATTTAGAATCTAGCATGGAGCTACAATGAAGCAGAGTACAATGAAAACCTTGATAGATTGTTTAACTATGACTCGGCTGTGTATTCAGATGTAGTTCAGACAAACCCGAAGAGTTGGTGTAGAGCTTTCCAGAAACTAGGAAACTATTGTGAGGATGTTGAGAACAACTCCACTGAAAGTTTCAACAGCTCTATAGTCTGCGCAAGGGAGAAGTCCTTAGTGCCAATGTTGGAGACCATTGCAAGACTTGCAATGGTGCGTATTGCCGCCAGAAATAACAAAGCTGCTGCACACAAAGGTATATGTACACCTTATGTTACTGAATTTCTCGCAGATGAGCATAAAAAAGCTTCAG